GAGAAAATAGAAGAGTCACTAATTTACTTGCAGCATCTTCTTACAGAGCAAACATTTCAACTCTCTGACTTCTAGATTTTGTTATATTCTATATACTGCTCAAATGCTTTTTTTAAAATCCATCATAGCATCAGCCCTCCATTTAGAAGTGCTCTTCATAAAATTACAGCAGATTTGGACTTCCAAAGATATTTCAAGTTTTGACAGTTCAATGTGAAAACCCTTTACCCTTGTCAAAGGATATCCTCTTATTATCAGAAATAAAATACAAGCCTCAGAAAATCATTAGTTGGTACAATAGCACAATGCTACTTAAAACTTCAAAATCTAAATCATTCTTTTTCAATCTGCGCTATATTTATTTCACTACAATTAACAAAACATTAGCCCCATGGTAACCACAGAGTGATAAAATACATCTTTCTTTCATGCAGTTTATATGACTAAACCTACTTTCTCCAGTCCCTGCAAATCCTGCCATAATTCAGGTCCGTTTTGGCTGTACCAGGAACATTCAAGCGGAGTGCTAAGTATGAGCCACTGTTCACCACCCAGAACTCTGCGGCCCAAAGCTAGTCCACAGACACAGCAGAACCTGACACATCCCAAAGGGCCAGGCAAAGAGCTGGGTATTGCCCAGAACACCAGACTTTTTGCAGAGTAGCTATCAGGAACAGAAACAGCAAAGCTGAAAAGCACATTTAACTCTTTTTTCATAGGTGTTCCTCACATCATCCCCTCTCTTTTTGAAGAGGGGGTGAGCCCTGTAACCTGTTTCCCAGAAAACACAGGAAAACTCAGGAGCGTTCTTCAGAAAGGTATAGTTTGGCATAAGAAGCAGTTGTCAGCCAAGAGAGGCCTCCCATGCATCATCACAAGGCATCATTTGTCACTTTAACTAAGCTTTCACTGTATGATTGCTGGTTTCACCTCTTTTTGAGCGGAGTATAAGAACAGAGGGTTGGAGGTAAAGGATGAGAATCTACAGTCTCCCAAGTAATGCCCCAAGGTACACTCCAGAGCACAACTGCCAATCAGTTAAGTCTAATGCACAATTGGAAGGGGGGGACACATACACAACACTACAACGAAAAGCAGCCAACCACACACACACACACACACACCACAAAGCCAAAAAACCCCACCGCTTTTTAAGTTCTTGAGTAGTGCAGTAGCTTGCTTTTAAGGTTAAGCAAACTGCCCTATATGTAAAGAAAAATAAAGCACACCACAGGAACAAACCCAGGGATGTGCACAGAGGAGGAAAGTGAGGATCCCAGAGAGATTCTGAAAAAACAATTCTGTGCAGACTCTAATCATTCTGTTCCTGTTACACAGGAGCTGTATGTAAGAGTAAACCACAGGGAGCTATTAAGCATGTTTTTTCTTAAAGAAGGTCGAAATATCTGTAATACTTACCCACTGGTCTGTACAACTGGGGGATTCTGTGTTTGATTTGAGAAGTCTGTGGAAATATTTCATTTGGAGAGAGTGAATGTATAAAAAGGAGGAAAAAACTGCCTCGAGCCAGACATAGAGCAAACAAATGCACACTTCCCAACAAAGCCTGTCAGCCTGGTTCATGAAAGCACGTTCAGATCATTAGTAGCTGCCACATGCTAATATCCTCTAGCAAACTTCCTCACAGTCCCTTAGACACACTTTCATCCAGACTTTAAGTTGACATACGCTGCAGCCTGCAGACTGGAAAAGGTAAAGAGTAAAAGTTTAACTTTGATGTCAAAGGCCACGGGGAGAATCATTCATAATGTCATTCACACATTTCACACACAGTGAAACAGATGTAATGATACCTCGGATGAACCACAGGATGGTTTGGGTTGGAAGGGACCTTAAAGCTCATCCAGTTCCAACCCCCTGCCACAGACAGAGATGCCTTCCACTACAGCAGGTTGCTCCAAGCCCCATCCAACCTGGCCTTCAACACTGCCAAGGATGGGGCAGCCACAGCTTCTCTGGGCACCCTGTGCCAGAGCCTCAGCACCCTCACAGTGAAGAACTTCTTCCTTATAGCTTATCTAAATCTGCCCTCTAGCAGGTTAAAGCCATTCCCCCTTGTCCTTGTAAAAAGTCTCTCTCCAGATTTCTTGTCAGCCCCTTTAGGCACTGGAAGCTGCTCCAAGGTCTCCCTGGAGCCTTCTCTTCTCCAGGCTGAACAAGCCCAGTTCTCTCAGCTTGTCTCCAGACCTCAGCATCTTCTTTGCCTTCTCTGGAATTGCTCCAACAGCTCCATGTCCTTCTTGTGCTGAGGGCCCCAGAGCTGGACACAGTGCTCCAGATGGGGTCTCACCAGAATGGAGCAGATGGGGAGAATCACCTCCTTTGACCTGCTGGTCATGCTGCTTGTGATGCAGCCCAGAACATGTTTGGTTTCTGGGGTGTAAGCACACACTGCCACATCATGTTGAGCTGCTAATCAACTAATACCCCCAGTTTCTTCTCCTCAGCACTGCTTTCAATGCACTAATACAATAATGAGCTAATACATCAAGCCCCTTCTACCCCTCAGGAACTCACACTTTAAGATTAAACCTCCAAATTTTCCAAGGTCCTTAATGCCAAAAGGTTAATTTGCAATTAAAAAATAAAAATGTAAGTAAAATAAAGGAAGAACAGAAACACCTTGTTTAAATTCGGGATGACGAGCCAAGCTGAAGGTGTTTATTTTGTGGAACTAAAATAACAATCAGAGCTCCAGGGCAACTGCAACAGCAGGCACAGGGAGGATAAAGCAGCCCCATCTATCATCCCTGCACCTGTCCAATGTGACATCTCACACTGATCTGCACGAGCTGGGCCTGTATTAACCCCAGGGAAGAGCTTCTGCCTGGGCTTCTGCCCACCACCACTACACAAACCAAATGCCAGGATCCCTCAGATCTGCCTGTCAGCACCAGACCAGCCATGGCACAAGCTGCAAACCAGAAAACTAAGGCTTCAGCACATAAAACAAAGCCACAGGGCCAGCTTCTTCCCTTCTAAGTGAGCACTGAAGAGTTGTTTTCCCTGGCCCATTTCATTTTGCAGTTAAGATCTTGAGGGAGCAGCTTCAAGTCACAATCCAGAACAGTGCAAGCCTGCAAAAGCCTTTTAGGGGGTGCATCTATCTCCCCTTCCAGTTTAGGGCTTAGTTCTTGGTCGTCTTTTAAAAGAGCTTCAGTGTTTAAAACCAGGAAGCAAGTCTCTTCACGAGCCCAGAGCACTGGACTCTATTTATAAAGTAAAGAAATTACTGAGATAACAGTTACCTGCATCAAAGGGAAGCAAAAACTATCACCATTTACATGACATCCTGAGAAACCTAGATAAAACTAGTGCATCAGTAATCTTAATAGGTTTGCTACACATTAAATAGCAAATACAACAATATGGTATGATTCTCAATTCTACAGTAACAATTCAGGCAGAAAGACACACAGTAAAGAGGGGAAAGGCCATCGGGAGGGGAATGACTTTATTGGTATAATGCAAGTTTGAAGCTAAACAAAAACATAATGATACTTTGAAACAGCCACAAAGACCCTTTCTGTCTCCACGAGTGATCTGCCCAGCCAGCATATTGCTGTTTACAGACAAATGTTTAATATATGCTCCCATTTAGTTCAAGTAACTGGAAACAGGCAGCAAAACCTGATCATGTAAAGCAAAGACATTTAACATTTGGTGCTCCCTAATCCCCCCTCTTTCCTATCTCTTCCTAGCTTTCATTCACAGCTTAATATTTGCCTCTGTGAAAGGCAGTATCTTTAATCCCCATGCTGACTTTTAAAAACTCTTTGTGAGCCAAAATGAGTTTAAGAAAAATAGTTTCTGTTAAACTTTGACAACTAAATTGTTCTTCTAATAAACAATGATGAAGCCAAGCACTATATTATTCTTAATATTTGCAGAAAAGGGAAGAGGCACATAGTATGGATGTAATGGATGGGAAATGAAGAAATGTTACTACTAGCTCAGCAGTTGTCCTTCAGTTACTTCCTCTGATTATCTCCCACTTCTAAACATAGGAAACGTTTTCTCTTCCTAGTAATGCAGACCTGTAAAGGGTGCCTTCTCCACTCATTTCTGTCATCAACAAGATAGCAAGATTATTTTCAAAATCAGCTTTCTTGCTTTTAGCCACATATCAAAAACCAGTTACTCTGTATTTGTTTTCAATTACTTTCTCACTTCTCCTCCAGAAACTGGGCCACAGCACCCAGTCATGCAATAGCATGTTTAACTCACTATTCATCCTTGTCATCTTTGACAATTGAGTAGATAGCAAATTATGATCCATGAAGTAAATATCTTAAACAGACACAAATGCTACCTTCAAACACTAGATAGACCTTATCAGCAGTAACAGCTGAGTCTCCTTCCAATAAACTTCTCTTTGAACTATCAAAAGTATACATTACTTATAAAGTCTTCCTTGATCCTTCATTTTCTGAAACCAAATAAGTCAATTTCAGGAGGCAAATCTAAACGCATGAAGGAAGAAAAGTGAATGGCTGTCAGGACTTCAAGGTTCAGTGGCATTCTACCACTGACTGCAAATAATGGGACATTTAAACTATTTCTTACAGCAATACTCTGCTTAAAAAGCTATTAAAATACTTTAGGCTAGATCGATTTTTGGACCTCTCTAAATAAAACTTCAAACAGAAGGGAAGATGATGCAGTGGAAAAAAAACACCAAATGCTCTCTTCATTCCACAGACATTCCACTCAGAGTTTCTGTATCAAAAGGAACATTTACACTATCACTCCTCTTTCAAGACATTACAAAACTATTAAGTGAACTCTGAATGTATTTCAGCTCCATCTCTCAAGCAACTAAACAGCCAGAAACACAGAGGTGAATGAATCAGCAACCACAGCTTAGAAACCCATCCTATGAAGTAGGATACTTCCACTGCTCGAGGTTACTGGCAACGCTTTTCCATGTCTGGTTGAATCTGGTACAAACCAGGGAGAAGAGACTCTTCTTCACTAACCTGCTTGTTGATCCAGATGACAGTGAGAATGTAGGAGAGGCTGATCTCTGGCCTTCCTCCAAGGAAGGAAATTCACTTGTTTTGTCATCAAGAGTATCTGGTTTGAGTATCTGGGCTTTTCCAAGGACAACAGCTGTGTGATGCTCTTCCTTATGTTCTACCAAGAAGAAAGGCAGAGATTAGCAAGAATGACAAAGCAAAATACTATTGATTAAATTTTTGTAGTGTGGAGGTAGATGTCAATAAAAATTTAAGCTTTATATATATATTTAAATACCAACGCTCCATTCCCACTTACTTGCTTCCCAAAACTCTCACAGTTTCAAAGGTTTAACTTCTTCTCCTGCACAGTAAAAAAACTCCAAATCAACAAAACCAAACCCTACCCTCTAAGAACCAGAGACTGAAACAGAAACATTCCATTGTTATCAGCTTCAAACACAAACAAGGAGAGAAATAAAGGGTAAGGATACTTGTCACATTTCCTAAGATCAAACTGAGTTTCAGAAATCACCAAACACTTAACAAGGCAGTGCTGTTTGCTGCTTCTTGCTACCAGTTCACTTCATCCAGCGCATGAGACAGCTTGTTCACTTTGAAGTTTTACAGATCAAGTCAATAGGCTTGTTTTCAATACCAGAAACATTATGACTTATTTCCTTATGCGCCTAAGGAGGACAGTGTTAATCTAGATAATTGACATTTCCATTTTTTATTAGGAAATGTAATTTCTAAACAACACATCAGACAAATCATAAAGGCATTCCACTGGTTTTGTGCCAAGTAATTTTACCTATAAAAAGATGAACAGTTCTCTCAAGTACCTTCTACCTCTCCAAAGAGAAAACAAACATAGGCTAGGAATTATGGGATGTAAAGATAAACTGTCCTTACACCATACGCACAAGTATTTTCAAATGAGTTATTTAACTAGAAAGTTGCACAGGACATTAAAACCATACTGAGACTCAGCTCATTAATAATCCTTATTATAGCCATCCACAGAAGTGTTCTGTCCACCCTCATGAGCCAAGCTATATTCCTGCTCAAGCCACTTTGACTTTTCCACCCCTCCAGAAATTATTTTGACAGAAATGGCCAAACAGAACTGCAATTAAAGCATGGAGGAGCTATACAATCTTTGAGTCCAGCCACAGCTTGCCCTTTCCCTTCTGCTGAAATGCATAATTAAATACCAGGAGCATATTTTTGTCTGTTGAAAACAACTGGCAGATTACAGCAAGTCAGTTGCCCAACTAATGAAACATCTCTGAAATTAACAGGTTAAAAATAGCACAGGCCTTGTGCAATAATGAAACCCAAAAGAGCACAATTTTGTATCACAAACATTTATCAAATCCTGATGGCACTTCCCCTTAGGCAAAGCAAAGCCCTGTTATAAAAGTTACAAAGACTGGAAATGAAACACCTTAAGATGATGTAAATCAGGAATCGATGATTAAAACATCACCAAAAACAGAGAGAGATTTTCATAGAGGCTTAAGTTACATCAGCCAATACTACAGTAGAAGGCAATGGGAGATATGAAAGGGTTAAAAAGAAGCACAAAACAAAACAAGTGTGCTTTAATTCTGTATAATTCCACTACTTCCATAAGAACTGAAATCAAGTGGGTAAGGAATGCACACAAAGCCTTTGCTCTTCTCAGCAGTTATGCTTTTAAATGGCAAGTCATCACACCACTGCTGGTTTTCTTCCTTTCATGTATTTTAATTTCCCATTTGATAAAAAGGCAATTGCTGTTAATAAGGAACACAGAAGGAACAAGCTTTAGGCAGCTGTTCCTTCACCCATAAATCTTCTTTTTGTTTTGTTTTGCTTCATTTAAATGGTTTACAAACAGTCAAACAGATGCAGATATTTGGGATAAACCTAAAAACTGAAACTTCAAAGACTAGTGAAAGCTCAGTGCATAAAAAACATAACAAAAGCTTTGCAGGTTTGTCAGAACCAGATGAGGTGGTATCACATAAGTCAACACGGTACAGGATGATACACCTGATATAAAGGTTTTTTTCTAAACTGAGCACTCTTTTGGAAAAACTATGGCTTTAATTCAGCTTCTCAAAGTCTGTGGTTCAGCATACGAAGAAAAAGCTTACACAGAAGACAGAAACCCAGTAACTCATAGTAGCCAATCACTCCACAGAGTATAGCTAAAAATCATTATCTAATAAAATATTGCTTCTGTCTTTGCTATAGAAGAGGAACATCATTGTAAATTATATCAAACAAGATAAACTTTATCCTCAAGATTCCTTAATTTTACCCTTCACATGGACAGGATTATGCGTTGCATCAAGGTCTGCATGAAAGGATAAGGATAAAATTCATACTATTGCATTGGTATTTTCACCTCTTTTTATTCCTGAGGGCTCTGCTAGAGGAGACAGCACAGGGACAGGCAAAGATTAGTTCAGCTCAAAAGAGGAGAGCTGATGCAAACTAAATACCGTATTTTCCCAAGGATGCAGACAACAGTGCATCCAATCCTGGTCAACGGAATACTCTCCAAAATTCAGTATCTTGAATAGATTAAAATTCCAGAAGTTACGTTAGGTTGAGAAATGCTCTTCTAAATCACACATTCAAAGATATATGTACACTGCCAAAGCAACCAGTACCATAAAACAAACAAGACTGAAGATGCCTATAGGGAACAAGTTAATAGCACACGTGGGTATTTCTTTGATGCTGTGGGTAGTGAGGATGACAAACATATGGTGGATGTAGTGCCTGACTCATAAAAAACTGAATAACTGCAGTTGTGCTTTCCCACTTTTCACTATGTTGAAGTATATAAACACAAAATAAATTGAGTTAAAGAGAGACAACATACTGTATGAACAGTTTAAAAGAAGCCAAAGCACTTTTTTGCTTGGACATCAGGACAAATGAATACTTGTTCCAAGCCACACAAGTATCTCTGCAGTTCCCAATTACCAACTCCCTATCATATTAGTGACACAGAAAAGCTGAAACCCAGCAGCAAGACCTATGATCACCTTCATTTCAAAGATGCAGATCATCACCTGCCCACTCTCATCTACTTCAGCAGATCTGGACTGGAACCTAAGGTCCTGTTTCAACCAGGTAATTAAAAGAAGCACCTAAATAAAGCACATCCATACAAATCCCACTAAAATCAAGCAAATCATGTATTTATTATGGGTTGTGCTTATGTATCATACTGAAATCAATAGCAGTCAATTTTTTATGGTCTGTTTGATTTTTATGCCTTTTTTTTTTTCCCCTTAAGGACTATAGGAGAAGAACAATGGGAGGAATGAACATTTTTCTTTGGGAAAGCCCCATTCCTTAGTGTGAAATGAAGAGGGAGACTATATTAAAGAACATTACTAACCTGTGGCCGCTGGCAAGTCTTTGACAGTAGCGACTTCCTTCTTTTGAGCACTTTCTGTTTTCCTCTTACCGCTTTTCTTCCATCGATTATTTACTTGATCCACCAAAAATTTAAATTCACTTCTGTGTTTCTTTCCTGAAATGTGGGAGTGAATTACTGATCATTGCCACAGGACTCAAGGTACACCATCAGAAGTGAAAAGGATGTCAACAGAAATAAACACAAAACACTGAATTAAAAACGTTTTTGTTACAGCAAACGAAAACCAACTCATTATTGCAATATGCTCCATATCTTATTAATGATCAAAATCTGTGTCTGTGCTTTTACAAAGCTACCCAGTAGTCAAGAACAGTTACATGAATGAAAGCTTAATTTTTGCCCAGAACAACTCTGTTTGCTTGGTATTCCTACGTGGAGCCCTCTGCTAGAAAGAAAGAGTAAAATCTAACTCATGACTGCTCTGTGAATGGCTTTAAAGTTGCTCTGGGGTTTTTTTCCCCCCTCTTTCTGCAGTAAAGCAATGTCTGAAAAGCTTTTGTGCCATGCTTATTACACTGTTTATATTCAGGTCCTCTAAATCACAGTTAACACTGCAAATACCCTGCACTTTTCAACCACTTCATACGTTTTAAGCAATCCTCTGGTATTCGGCCAAAGCAGTGTTGTTTTTTAATCTAGATACTTCAAATTCTTTACTCAGGCTGGAAAAACACCCAGTCTCCTTAGTCGGACAATGTGGATTACCTAACCCTAGGGACAAAGGGAACATGTTGTTTCCCCTACAGAATGCAGCAACTTCTACTGAAGCAGCATATTGGACTGTTGCTACCCACTGCTAGTTCAGCATGGAAGCCCATCAGTCCATAAACATGGCTTTATACTGATACGTTATGGTAAAGGCAGCAAATGTAAATTTCCTTTACTTGGGAGGACTCTCAGTAAAAGCCACTCTGATAAACAGATTTGTCCTTTTGAGACAAAGTATTTCAGCTAAAACCTTGAGCTTCATTTTTTGCCTATGGAAAAAGTGTTCAGAATGTTTTCCATGTCAGAGGCAGGAAGGCCCAATGGACATCCAAAATGTTCTTGGGGAAAATCAACTATAACGGCATGAGAAGATGAAGCACACACAGCCCCTCCTCCGGGCTCCACACTGCCTCTCGCAACAGTACCCAGAAAACCAGCTGATGGAGATGTCAGAGGTTCAACATGCAAGAAAATCCCAGGTCCCAGCCAGAGCACTTTCCAATCCATCCTTGCAAGACTCAGCACAGTGGCCAGGGCCCACATGCTCCCTCCTCTGCCATCAGCAAGGAAAGGTTCCTGGCAATGGCAGTACAGTGATGGACTAAACAAACAGCTCCCGAGACGAGTACACCTCGTACCGTATAACCCACTGCACACACACAGCCCTTTTTCTTTCTTTGCACACACAGAACTGAATGTCTCTGCTCTGTAGAGGCCACATGCATGCTGACCAAGTTACACTTGCAGGGAAGACTAAGGTAAACCACAGCAGAGAGGACGGACAGAAAAGAGAACAGGAATCCTCAGGACAAATGAGAGCCAAGGGCTAATGGTGGGCAAACCAGGCTACCTTCCCCCGTCCTAAGACACTGCAGACCTGGCCCACCCCGCCACATGCAGCCCCTTGCACTGGCAGTGCACACACCAGCTTCACCCCACCCCGCAATGACAGCAAAATAAATCAGCATCCCAGCTGGCACGGCCAAGGCCACAAGGAGTGGACACCCCTCACTGAGCACTCTGTGGAGTACAGCACATCTAACCCTGATCCATGTCCTGCTGCAGTGATGGGAGGGGAGGAAAGCCAAGATAAAATCCTATCAAGTTCAGTCCCACAAAAGGGAACATATATATATATAAATACATATATATAAAACCGACTCCCTCACCCTGAGTAGCCAAAAACACCACATAAGGTCAACAAATTCTTCAATAAACAGACAGTTCTTGTCCCAGATACTTGTGTTTGAACCGCTGCATATTCATTACCAAATTCCTTTAGCGCTTCAGTTTTTCCAGTATCACTTTTTGTTGTTGTTTTGTGTTCTGGTGTAACTACAAAGCTTTTCAAATAAAAATGAAATGTCCTGGCAAAACAAGGCACTATTCAGATATGCTGTAAATCACTGCTGTGCTGAGATGACATACATAAGCGTTTCATAAAACCACCCTAACAGTGTAATCTGCAATTTTCCAAGAGCCTGGAAAACTGTAAAGAAGGAAAAAATAAGTTTTAGAATCACAGCTTTTTTAATCTCACTTTTCAACAAGGCTGTTACATAGCTCCAGTGTGTGGTGGGTTTCAGATGGAAATACAGAACAAAAAGTATATGGTTGGGTTTATTTTTTTAATTCAGAATATATGCCAGAGTTAATTCATTCATGAATTCAGCTGTGAATCAGGGACCCAGGGCGTAACTGTGGAAAATTAAAAGGAAAAAAACCCCTACACTGTTTAATAAAGCTTTTTAAAGTCCATCTGTGCTACACTGAAAAAAATGGCATTTGATAAAAGTTCTTTTAATCTCTCACTGTCCTCTAATTTTAATATCCAGTTCTTTTTTCATGCTTATGATTCCTTCCCTATTGCTTTTATTAGGAATAATTTGCTGACAGTCATTAACGCTGACCTCTGTGGTCATCACTTTTTATTAATTTTAAAACCATATGTTCCAATTAAAACATTTTTCTATCTTCGCTTTTTCCTCTTTTTTTCTCTTTTACTTTAAGTGTTCAATTAAGCTGCCTGAGGCTAATTCATTCACTTCAAGATCTTGCTGCTTTGAAGCCAGATCCTTTTAATAATATAAACTTAATAAAATACCGGTTTTGAAAAATTAAGATGGCACTTAATATCTTCTTGTTTCCAAGTGTGTATAACAGGTCAAGAAAATGAAAGCAAGGAGCTGGCTGACGGGCTCCTGTTTCCACACCCCAGCCCAGGCACGCAGTTTTGCAAGGTTCCAACAAGAATGCAACCAGGGATCCAGCTTTACGAGGAATTTGTGCATATCCAAAATGTAAAAACAACGGAGTTAAGAGGGTCTCTTGTGTAGGATCAGCTCCCTGGTGAGAGTGCTGCCCTACAAATAGCTGTGCGGGCACTGCACGGAGCAGCACATCCCCATGTCTGCTCCTTCACTCTCCTGCTCCCAAACGTTCCTCATCAGTGGGGAGAAGGATCAGGGCAAACGTGTTCACAGCTGACTGTGATTTCAGGTACCTTCCTCCAACAGCTTTTGTTCAGATTCACCATCCACATTTAGAGTACCTTAAGGAGCAAAGCAGTAACAGATAGTTATGTGCTCTGCTCCAGGGCTTCCTGCAGGCACCAAGCTTCAGATTTGTGCTTTACAGAGCTATGAAAGCCTTGCATGGAAAAATACCCAATTTAGGATTAATACTTTTTAAATTATTTTACTTTTTGAGTTATTTAATTTCATTGCTAGAGATTTCTGCATGGCAAGAGAATAATTATTAACCCATTACTTGGAATTAGAGGTGAATGCTTAAGATTAAAAACCACAAACAGTACATGTACACTTAAAAAATATATATATTCTCAGCAACAGCAACAAAAAGCAAGGGAAAAATCTGCTAAAGATTTAAGCTTTTATTTAGCCCTCACAGAAATGCAACTAAAATCAACAAGGCTAAATCTAGCTGCATTATGGAATAATTTATATGCCTGAAGCAACGCAAGGAAACACAGGAAATATGAGAGTATTGCAGATTTAAATACCCTTAAGTATAATCAGAACAAGTTGTCCCTTCATTGCTTTGCTCCTCTGTGGCTGAAAGCAGAGAAGTTTAATGTCTGTTGAATATTGTTTTAACATTACATGGCTAACTACCACGTTTGAGGGTGCAAGCAGAGCACAGGTGAAGCGAAATGAGTGGGAAACAACAGGAAAGAAATTGTGACTAATAAAACACCACTAGGGAACTAAGTGCAAAGTAATGCTATTTAAACCCTGATGTACAAACACAGAAAGAAGGATCAGGAAATCATCTGTAAAAATCAGTTTCCATTAGCCATTTCTGTACTAAATTACTACAACAGGATGCAAGTCTTGCAATCTTTAACTCTCACAAAGATGTTTGCTTCTAAACTAACCAGAAAGATGGTTAGATGGCTCCACAGAGAGAGAAAACACTATTCTCAAGTTTAAGCACAGAGTAAACTGCACTTTCCCAGGGTCAAGTTGAACAGGAATCAGTTCTTTGCTGGAAAACAAAACCAAAAACCAGCATGACAAAAAAGCTCCACCAGAAAACACAACACATATCCCCAAAACCTACCAAAAAACCCCAAGCAAAATTGTATCACTAAACTATAGCTCTCCCTGTGATATTTTTCTTATTTATTCTTCTCTCCTTCACATATTCTCTAGTTTCCTTTACATATTTATTCCAGTTACACTTCCCAAAACAAATCTATTACTCTGTCAGGGGAGAAGCAAATTTAATAGCCAACACAGGCACTGGTCTCTTGCACAGAGGACTCAGTGTGAAAAATGAAACAAACAGCAACAACAAAACAAACAAACAAAACCCAAATTACCCAGTTTGCACTGAATCCCAGTCACTGGCACAGAATGGAGGGGAAGAGGTCAACCAAGTGAGCAGACTCTTCTTTCTAAGAGATTGCTTCAAAATCACAGGGATAGATGGGAGGGGAAAGAAGTAAAGCAGGCAGGGAGGAGGCAAGAACATGCGAGTGCTTGTGGAGAGGTGTATGAAGGAAGGGAGAGAATGTGAGGAGCACTGTGAAATGCTGGATGATTTGAGAGTCACAATACAGAAATGCAATATGGAAAAAACATTCTTGGCTCAATTGAAACACACTTTTTAGCAGTATGGATGAGTTAGAGAGCTTGGGAACACCAACCACCACCCAGAATACAGGTGCATTTTAAATAAAGTCAGTGTCCAATCATTAAGAGTGTAGGGGAGGAGGGAATATCCCAAGTAACGGGAAAACCCAGTATCGGTGTTACTGTGGTGAGCGCAGAGCCAAGACAACAAGCCAATGCCCCATCTTGCCAGCTCAGCACACTTCATGTCAGCAGTGACACCTCCCTCCGCAGTGGCCCAGCTATGCCTGAGCCAGGCTGGTGCTCCTGGAGGGCTCACAGCCTCAGCACTGCTTGCAGAGCAATGCTATAGAGTGCCCAGAACCCCCAAAAAGGGAGAAAACAGTGTCAAACCTGAAGGTGAGAAAATTCTCAGGAGCACATGCCATTGTTCAGAGACTCAACAGCAGGGAACAAGGGATTTTTTTGTTTATTTTTGTTTGTTTGGGGCTTTTTAGGTTGTTGGGTTGTTGGTTGGTTTTCGTGTTTGGTTTTGTTTTGGTATTTTTTTTTACTTGTGATTTACTACACACAGGTTTATATGCTGCAAGCCCAAGTTTGAGCGAAGTATAAAACCAGCAAACCGATTGGCCCAGTTTGCATGAACCTCTGAGTACATAGGAAAAGAAGGTGAATTTAAAAGCAAAATGAAATGAAACTTGCTATTACTTACGATAATCTGTGTGGATCTCATCTATTTCTTCCTCTGTCTGGTCCTTTGTGAAGGTCAACCTCTACAGAAATCACACAAGTGTTTATTTACAGAAACAAAAAGATGATAATGCTGCACACTTTGAAACTAGTCTTAAAACTGGATGAAGGATTAGCTGTTTTGCCCCACCAGCTCTTACCATCTCATCTGCAGACAGTAATCTATATTTAAAGTACGTACACATGCTGTCTTGCTTTGCTTTCACAAAGGCAACAGGACTAAGCCAAGCCATCCCATATAATACCCAGCATGTGTGGACCATAAAATATTTCCTAATACTATGCAACAAACATACTCCAAAAGTCACAAAAGTATCATATGTCATGGGAAAAGAACAGGCGCTATTGCCGACATGGAAGCAAGGAATTTGCTAGCTAAATCCTAGAGAATTCTAGGAAGCAAAATATTCCCCACACTGCCATGGAGGGTCAAAATCCTCCAGTATGACCAAGGGGAACATTTCTCAAGGATTTTTTTTGCCATGAAAAGTATGCTCCTACTTACATGGTTTGGGCATAGAAACATCAGCAGTACTCAAAGAACTGCCCATGACAAATGAGCGGAATGAGAAAATCATGCTGATTATAACATGGTATATGTGAATTCCAACATACAACCTGGGAATCTGGGAATTCCCACAATGAAGTGTTGGGCAAACATGTTCAGTACCCACTCTGCAATTTCTCCTAACCATCCCCCTCTTTGAAAATAAAGGTAATTAACTTACACTTTCACCAGGTTTATTCAATTCAAGCTGAACTCGAATCTTCTCATTGTTTTCCAGCTCTTTAACAACTTCTGCAACTGTTTGAAAATACAAGAAAGGGATCAGTAAAGCAGGAGCTCTTGTTAGCACCCAGCACTCAGCCACCTCCTGGGCCACTGCTCCATTTCCTTTGCATTAAATTCACAGGAAAAGGCAGTCTTTTCAAATCACATCTGAATGTTACTCTAGCAAGCTAGTGTTTCTGTGGTACACAGGCATGTCTTTTAGAAAAAGAGTTTCCATTTTACAATCTATCTTTCAGTGGAAGATAAAACAATGACATCTACTGTTTATCTTACTTTACCTCCATGGACTGCCTTCCAAGGCAACACAAAAGTGGCTGCAGGCTTATGTCCAAGTTCAAAGATGAATTACAACCTACACTAAGGATTAAGTTGGACATATCAAAAGCATATAAACAGATACAACTGTGTATTAACATTTTAACTAAAACTACAGCTATGCAGGAGCCTGCACAGTTTATTTTGGCATTTCCTTTTACAAATCTGTTTCCACACTTAATCGTTTTCCCCGCACTACTAGGTAGCGGTGGGTATTTATTAAAACAAACACTTTCACTAGACAGCAAAGTAGCCAGAGAACAAAAGCTTATTAAGCTGTGGAAGAATAAAACCTGTTCAAAACTGGTTTAAAAATCCTGGAGTTTGGCACCTATGCTTCCTCAGAAGCTCAGCTATTCATATTATATAGTGACCTTAGGTTCACTGCTACCACTGAAAATGCATGTCTGCATCTTAAGCGCAAGTTTAATAATTCACCTTTTATAAGAAGGTGTTGAGCCAGAACTCAGTAAAAGGTTTGCATTATTTAGGTCAGTACATTGTCACACATAGTGAAACTTCATTTAGCCAGCCGGGATGAACAACACAAAGAAACTTGGTGCTACTTCGCCACCAGCATCAAGGGAAGAATTGCCTCCCAATACATTCAAGGATTAACAGAGAGCAGCCAGCTCTGCACAAAGCCAACCCTTGCACACCTTGAGCAGATGGGAGGCTCCAGTTGTACCAGCATCCATTCCTCACGCTGACCTTGCTGTAGCATAACAGCAGCAGTGCAGCCCCAGCCACATGGCCTTTCCTCTCCCCTCTCCTGGAGTTGCCGTGGCTCCCAACCAGCCCACTCTTCACCCTGCTTCAAAACTGCCCCACTCCTGTTTAGCCATCAGCAACAGGGCACCTCCATGACCTGCGGCAGATTTACATCTACTCCTGCTGCTGGGGGAACTTGGAGAGACCTCTCCTTTGAGAGCATCTAACTACGTTTTCAAGTTTAACATAAATCCCAGCATGATTGAGATTCTGATGCAAGTGTTGTTTTTGCAGACTTAAACCACAAACTTTCCAAACTTCTATTATCACTGTAGTCAAACACAATGTTAACTCTGTGTGCTGGTTATTATCCCAGAGACTTTCTGAAGTCCTAGAAAATAATTCTTGAAGCATGTTTATTTTTGGAAGTGCTTAGGCACAACCTAAGCAGTAACACTTGGCACCTAAACCACTTCTCCACTTAACCTTCTTAGTCAAGTTCTTAAAATGGTTAAAGCAGCAAATAAAAAAGCAAGTAGTGTTGGTTGCAAACTGGCTTTTTTCATATGCTTGCTCTCACATTCCAAACCAAGAGCTGGCAAGTGAAATCAAGATTTCAAAAAGCAGAAGCCTACAGTTTGGCTGCTAAATTCATATTTATAATCCTCAGTGACTGACTATTTTCAAAAACCATTGCATCTGGTGGTTCTGCATGTTTAGTAAAGGAATTAAAAAATAAAAGCATGTTTTTGGTGTTTAAGTGCCACAGTAGAAGTTGTGGATATTCAGCATTTCCAACTGTCTGATCACACATAAAACCACACGTGCATGAAGTTAATCTATCAGCTTTTCATATTCACATGAAATAAATACTGCCCTATACTGCCATATTTGTTAAGTAACTGATGAATTAAGTGAGTTTTACAGTGTCTAAATTTGGCAGCCTTCTCCAAGGGTACTGGCCCCAAAATTATTCCTATTGCAGATAATCAAGAAGCAGATGTGGAGTCGAGCTGTGCACCTGCAGTGGTGTGCTGTCTGCTGCTGAGCCCCGCTGTACAGGAGCAGCTCCTTGGCCCCTGCCTCACTGCACTGTCCTGCTTGTTCATTCGGCTCCTGACAGTCCCAGTGCCATAAAAATTTATCTGGTCCCAGTAGTTTCTGAGCCCCTCAACACACACAAAAACATTCCAAATTGTTTACAGCTTCTGGAAGAAGTGGTGAACTTGTGCTTCAGGACCGTAGTCTCTCTAAACATGAAAATTAAAGAGATCAAACTGAGAGTGAGGAACAGTAAGTATTTCTCATCTCTACCTGTGAAGTAGCTGAGACCAGCTCTTCCCAGCAGCAGGACTGACCTACGCTACAGACCTAGCAGGCAGCAAGCGACATCCTGAAACCAGTGCAGAACGTGCAATATATGAGAATCTCCAGGACACCAACAGCTGTGCAGCCCCCAAGAGATAAATACCAAAACATGATCCTGCTAAAATTCCTTTAAAAGGATTATTTGCCAAAAGCTTCTAATCAAATAAAAAATAATATGACTGTACATCTGATGACTGCCTCTCACCCACACGCACCAGTGTATTTGTGGTGTTAGTTGTATCACTTGGAGAACTAATTGTGAGACAACAAATGCCAGATCTTTAAAAAAGATGCATATATTTATCTTGTACAAAACAGTATAACAAGACGAGCTGGGCCAGTTCTCCCTCTAGCTCATACATGATATTCCTAAATCTAAAAAATGGCCACACTGCCTACAAAGCCAGGCAGCACAAATACCTTACTCAGATCTCATCCTCCCTGTTCCAGCCCCAAGCATTAAGCCTAAGCACACACAAACAATAGATGGCTGTTTAAAGGAAGTTTATATTGCACTCACATTAGAGACTAAAACACATTCTGTTTATCCCATACAGCTGTTTATATATAGACCGAGTTTAATTTTATAAAAATATTGCCAAACACCCAAACTGATATAAACTACAACAAAATATTAATACTTTCCTATTAATTTTTTCTACTTTTATCTGTCATCTCCAAAAATATTCCTCATTTTGAAATTAAATCCAACAAAACCATGAAACTGTCCGTGTACAGGAGGAAGAAAACAACTTCAGAACAAAAGATAAATTAATAATCCATTCACTTACTAAGAACCTCTGGTACTTCCAATTTTCCGACTAAAAGCCTCAGAGTCTAATCTGGAGGCATTCATTAAAATACCAAGTCAATAAAAACACAGAACATTTTTCAGAACAGGGTTAGTAAACCAGGAAGTATCAAAAGAACTTCAATACAAATGTACATCCTTGCTGGATACTTCCAGAGTACAGCAACACATTTCTGGCTTTCATTACATTTCCTTTTATTGCATAAACCAAGATTAATGCAAGATAAATTCTTCCAGCTCCAGTTTTCCCCAGATACTGAAACCAGCCTTATTCCTACCCTGAGAACTGAGAGAAGAAGCAATGCATACAAATAGCTTGCAATGGTAACAACTTTCCTAGAATTTCTAACTTACCTGATTTGGGATTTAGAGAATCACACTGAGCATTGTACATGTGCACGAATTCTTGGTGTCTTTTAATCAGCTGCTGCCGGGTCCCACGGGTAGACAGACCATGTTCCTTCAGTTTCTTCTTCAAATCACGATCAGACAGCAAGTTGTAAACAACTTTAGACATAGGTTTCCTTTTGTGAGCAGAACTGCAAAAGGAAAAGGAAACAAACTGTGAAAATGAAAATAGTGACTTACATGTTTACAGGGTATTTCACCCGCTCTGGGCAAGAAATACCTGAAAGAATCATTTCAGTTACAACAGATACACAACCAGTCACTCAGCACATCACAGATGCAATGGCACAGCTCTAGGAAGCCAGAACATCTTTTCCATCTACCACAAAGAAAATTTTGAATGTGCAGAAAGCAATAGGACTCATCTGATTTTCTGTAGGAAATGATGCAAAATTAGTCAGGTAACTAGTACTGCGGTTCAGTTTTAGTATCTACAGTGAAGGCTTCAGAATCACATCAGCAAACATCGTATTGTCCACCTTCATTAGAATCAAGAGTATTCTCTCCAAATTCAAGAGGAGGTGTACTGAATACAGATTGCTGAAACACAGGTTTTCCACCCAAGTACTGGCCATATCTTACCTGAATCAGTTGGTGAAGTTCTAAAGCATTAAAACTACAAGCCAAATCTTGAATTAGGAGATTTTTCAGCTTTCTGGGAAAATGACTTCGAGAAAGATAGGCACGTACCTGAAAGCAAATCTATAGTTCCCATCTAACAGAAGGGTAATTTGGTAATGCAGAAAGCGACATTAAAGAGAACGAATAGTGCTCTCAGATGAGTAACATCTAAAACCAAAATTTACTCCTTCATACTGCCTCATGTCAGAACTCAACGTTCTTGGCATAGCTAGGAAAAACATCTCAGTTACAGGAAACTGCCACAGAAAATTCAAGTCCTACTACAACTTTTGTCATCTAATATTAGTGGAACAGTTTCCTTCTGCACAAATTAGCTCAGCCTTCCCTGTACCTCCTGGAGAAACACTCAAACTAGGTGCAAAGGTACCCAAATCCATCTAACGCCTCACTAATCTTCAACTTACATAATTTGTTACGGAAGAACAGCATTTAGACATGTACATATTACAATTTACCAGCAGCATGACCCAGAAGAGTGACGACAGCTCTGCCAGCAGACAGCTATATGAGAACAGTTCACAACAGTTTTGAAGCTTAATGTTGGCGGGTTTTTTCCCCATTCTTAAGAAATGCAGTGTTCTTTGTGAGCATACACTTACCTGTTGTAATTACTCCCGAGCGGGTTTTGGGACTAAATGATCAGTTTCACTGAAACACTGCTCAACTGTTCAAATAGCATGCCATGTGCTCCTAATTTGAGAATAAACAGAGCTAAAATTCCTCAGAGAAGAACTAGAGATGTGCTGTTACCGAAACCGGAACAACACAGCCATAAAACAAACACATTGCCAAAAAGGCAGTATTCAACACACAACAGCAGGTCCCTAAGGAGAAGCATCTTGCGTAACATGTTATTAAAATCCAAGCAGAGTAGATAAAATAAGCAAAATTTAGATTTCTGTTAGGGACATGGCCTTGACACCAAAGAAAGATCTGGCTTTTATTTCCATTCATTAAGAATAAAGAAAAAAACGCTAAAAACATCCTAATGAAGATTAGGATGTAACATCAGATTTCAGTATTAATTTATCATTTATTCAGCTTCAAAGTCCTTAAGCCTATAGACTGCATTCTAAACACCGGGCAAAACCAGAGCTTTAACATAAAACTACCTTCTAATTCAAGGAAGGTTCAGAGGACCTGGAAATACAAGCATGCATTAAAAGCCCCTCACAGTCCTTAATAGCCTAAATGTATGCTCGTAAGTAAAACAAACTGAAATCTACACTTCTGATGTGACTGTGGCAGCCATGAGAAATTCTAGGGCAGAGGCATAAAGTCAAAGGCATGCATTAATCTTATGGACACTGAGATCTTAAAGAAACAACCTTGACTGGGGCAGCTCGAAAAGAACCACAGTAAGCAGGGTAAGGTGCCATTTTTATTTTTTAACTTGACAGCTAGTGAAGCAATTGTCTTCTGGAACATCTGAATTGAGGGAAGCAATCCATTCACCAAGTGAAAAATGGGAATAACTGTGATTTGAATGGAATTTTAATGTCAGTGATAGAAACGTGACAAGAATAATGTACAGGCTAAGTTTTACTCCGTGTTGAATACTTTAAAACACTGTCCAGTGTTTTCCTGCCACTAAAAGCCAAAAAGTAATTCTGCTGGCAATCCATATACTTTCTTGAAAGGGAAAAAATCACCACTATCATATTTATACAGTGATTTTAGAATAATCTATACAGCAGGTAATGAAGAAACCCACCATATTATAACCCATCAACTAGTATTTCTTATTTCAGTAGTGCAGAAAAATATCTGCATGCATATACAAGTTCTTAAAGTTGTTTCTTACCTTCTGAGGCAGTCCTTCTTCTCTTCTCTTGTTAAGCAGGTATCCAGATGTTTGTTTATGTATTCTTCTGGAATAGCAACCTCACAGACAGGACAATCCACTGAAAGCAAAGCAGAAGGAATTTACTACTGTGTATATTACATCAAAGAGCAAATGTTTTCATCTGAAAAAACTTATTGTTGATTGAAGAAAATGAAAATTCCAGAGCTGGCATGTCCATCCAGAATCTTCGTTTTTAGCTCTCATTTTCATTCCAGAACAACTATTTCCATCTCTGTGTAATTATCAGAATGACTCTCATCTTCCCTGCAGTCAGATGGAATGAAATCACTAATAAAAATCTAGAATAACATACATGCTAATATAAGCATCAACATAGTTCCGTGCTAATGTTTTTAACTTCTGCAGTATTTCACTCCTAAATAAAGGAAGCTACTTCATTTTGATAAAAGAGTATAGCACAAACTTTATTCACATTAACATTGGGAACATTACTGTTCCCAACCTATGGCTCTTAACAGGACTGTCAAGACACAAGTTAACTCAGCCTCACAGGAATCCTACCATCCAACCATGCCTCATACTCATTTCTTAGAATAGATAACTAGATTCTGTGACTTGGGCTCAAAGGCTCACAAAAGCCCTATGGCATGGTCCCACCCAACTCTGAATTCCTCTTGCATCTTGATTTCAAGAAGCAGCTATAAACATTACCTGTAAAGACAGTCAAAAAACACAGACTTAAAATATTCATCTTTAGTAATCACATCATGTCAAAACCAAAAGGCTAATTTTAAACGAACAGCATGAGAAAGAGATTCTTTAACTGACAGCCTGTGTATTAGTATGAAGGAAGTTGGTTTTGATTTAAAAGACAAAGCAAAACACAGGCTATGAAAAACACTGAAATCATGTGGGAATTGAGGAGTTATCTGGTAACACTGCTTCACAATTCCTGGCTCCCATGACATCATATTCTAGCCAAAGGTTAAAAAAGAAAGAAAGAAGTGGGGACAGCAACAAAACACAACAGTTCCGAGCCGTCTGTTACTGTATTTGACATAACATTTGAATTCTTAACACAGGGGAAAAAAATACTTACTAAAACCACTTCAGCATTGCTTCAATTTCAAGTCTTTCATTTATATTGTTTGACCAACTACTTTGCATTTGTGGAAATAATTTCAATGTAACACATGCTCAAAGATTTAATAAGTTCATCAAAGGGTAAGCAAGTGAAAATTTCAACTGCTCAAGAATAAATGAGCAGTAAAATTTCATACGAGTTTTAAATTACTAATGCAACTCTGATGTATAAAACTTGGAAACATAACTTCTGGGTAAGTTGATGCCATTTTCACATGGCTAGTTCTCTGGCTGTAATACATCTTTAAGCAGTATTTACCCAGCTAATGAATAAATATGAACTTCTGAGTTCCAGCTGAATAAATTGTTAAACAAAAGAATAGATAAATATGAGCTAGTAAATATTAGTGTTGTACTCCTACATGGCCTTTTATTTTAATGTAGGCTTTTAATTGTGTCAATAGGGTGGCTGCTATCATGTGAAAACTAAGAGGATTCTGTCATTTCTTTGTAGTTTATTAATATAAATAGGCTTTTTCATGCTTCAAAATAAATTCATTTTAACACTGTAGAATTACAGAAGAATAAAGCAGATTACTTTCTTCTGGAAAGTGCTTGAATAGGAATATTAACAAAACTGAAGCCATGATCATTTTGATTTTGAGTGCACCTCTCAAATAACAAACACATTATATAATACCTTGCTTCTGGTTACTTAAGAATACAAGAGCAGAATAAATGTCTATCTGGTCATTAAGGGGAAGGAGAAAAGAAAAGCACTTCATTTTTACTAAGTCTGTTGTGCAACTATTGTTTTTTAGAGTTGTTACTCAGAGCAAAGGAATCTGTAAGCACTCAACTCCGTTTAATTAACTTGGCATCAGCCCAAGCTTCCTTGTCAAGATATGCTTGTAGCAGAGCTGTGCCACATAAACAGTAATCTGAACGAAGCATAGTCCAGTTATATGAGAAGCATCTTAACATGCCAGTGCAGAGGAGAACAATGCAGAGAAAGGAGATGAATGCCACGTACTGAAGGTTCTCTAATGCATGTGCCAACCACAGCCACGGACTTGGGGAAGAGAACTGGGCAAAATCAAAAACTAAGCATCTCACCTTTCTTGACTACTTTTACCACAGATGTAGACGGTTTTTCATGAGTTTTGGTGCACTCAGGCCTCTCTTGTGATCCCACTTCATTGTCTTTACCATCAACCTCTGCAGAACTGCTGTAAAGGTCATGGTGTTCCTCAGTTTTCAAAATCTTTTCATCTGATCCTGCCAGGCCTTCTGCTTTTGTTGAGGTGCAAACTTCTTCCTTTGTCAAGCAACTGTCGATCACTGGCACCTCTTCTTTTAAAACTGTAGAACTCCTAATGTGGCTTTTGCCAGCTGAATGCCTGCTACAGGCCAATGGAGATGAAATCAGTGGAGTATCCAAGACCAACTGGAACAGCTGTTGTCTAGAAGCATCCAGAAGACAACATGCAGTTAGCCACATTGGACACCATTAGATTTTTCTTTGAGAAGAAACCAGAACAAAAACAGATGGCGCTTTTCCTCCGTTCCTTCCTCCCTCTCCCCCTCGCATGCACGCAGCACTGGGGAATTGCTAGCCCACACGCCAGCTGAGCCTCACCACGCTCTAGAGAGCCTGAAAAATCAGCTTCCTGATTTTCAAACAAAATAAATTGCGTTTTGCAAATACAACAAAAGACCTCTCAAAACACGGAACACAGCATCCACCACTTCTTTGGGCAACTGTTCCAGTGCCTCTCCACCCTCACAGTAAAGAACTACTTCCGTATATGTTTTATTCCTACCCCTGCACCAGGTTTCTTTGCAGAATCCTGTTTATTTTACCATGTATTTTATACACCTCGATCAAAGACAAAATAAGCCAAAGGCAGCACCCTTGTCAGGGATGCATTCAGGGCCCAGGACAATACAGATGATGTTCACTTCTCCCAAGAGACCAGCCCTGTGCACTAGTAACTACAACTTCACAAGATGCTTGGGGTCCCTCAGACGTGAATGCATAAAGACCACAAACAAGTCTGTAACACCAAAAGTGTCCTCCTCCTTCCCATCTGTAACACATTAACTTTTTCAAGCACTAGGAGTTTTAGTACTGCCATTGCTCAGCAAGTGCATGCTCTTTATTTAAATGCCACAGCTTTACAGCTTTGACTGAGACACAATCCACCGCACCAGGGGTGACAAAGCCTCTGAAGGTAGAACAGCTGTAGGTCCTCAACTTAAAGAGAGGACTGTGGGTGATGTACGTACAGAATAGGCACTGACACAAAATTATCTCTTACAGCACTTCCGTGACAACACAAGGCCCATAAGAAGTTTGAAATGCAGCTCTGCACAGATTTCACAGTTGAAGACATTTCAGTATTGGGTAAGTACTTAGGAAACTTCTCAGTCTGAAGGTGAAGATTTTATTATCTAAGAACAACTAATTAAGAACTGTTTGTATATATATCTTTTAAAAACAAGTCCACACCAAAAGCCTGCAACGGTTGTAGTCAAGGCAGATCCAGAAGGCTGATTTGGAGTTTGTTTCCTGGGTTACTGGATGCAATGACCACATCTGCCAGTGGCAATTCGCATCTGTCCCAAGATTCTGATTTTCTGCAGTGCAAACAAGTGCAATTAAGTGTGGCAGCAAAACTATGTTTTTTCTGTCTGCTCATGCCTAGATATGGACTGGAAGGTTTTAAGGAGGTTAATCCTCCAGCTGACACAGACTCAGAGTGGTCTAGCTTCTGTTGACACAGGATCAGCTCCATGGGGACCTCAGGAACTAGTTAATGGGAACACAAAGAGACTGCCTTCACACAGCCCTGTCCCACTCCCACCTCACATTTGCTGTTTACAAGGGGTTTATTTCATCCAGCAGTACCAGAAATGTCTGACAGCATAGCATATCACTGCTCAACACAGCTTTAGCAGCAATAACTGGCAGACAAAATATCTCATTTTACTGCAGATAAACGCACAATTTTCTTCTACTTAAGGGTAACAAATACAGCCCCCAAAGACTTGACACATCACGGATGGTTATGTTCTACAACCAGGTTCAAAAGTGAACAAATTTGTTGCCTTTTATTCCTAACATACTCAGGCAAAGTTTAGTCCTCAAAAGGATACAGCTGAGTAGTCTACCAAAGATGTACTTCCCCTATTTGAACAAGGAGTTCATTTTGTGGTTATGTAAAAGTATCTGTTTCTTCGGACTCCCCCAGGTTTTCATACAAGCAGCCTATCATTAAAGTAGCTAATCAAAGTCAACACATAGTCTTACCATATTATTCTTTTGGCTTTGGTTAAGCAACCTTTTTTCCACACACAAGCCCAGCATCCTATGCTAATGCTACAGCAAGCTAAATTCTGCATGGCTCAGATAACATAGAACAGATCCATAAATGCAATCATTTGCCATCATATCAGTTTAGTTTTCCCATAAAGAATAATACAGCCCCAAAAGGCAAAAATAACTGAACGATTAGCCCACTGCCTATATTCATTGTCTTCATCTAGAGAACACAACTGATCATCATCTTTTCAGTGTATTTTTGTTGCTTTTGAGAGCTCCTCCTCTTGTCGAAGTAACACATTCTACTATTAGTAACTACCAATTACGTCTGTTTAGTTTTCCATAACAGGCATTCACTAGCTAAAATGTATTTCCCAGTGTGTTCCCAATAGCTGACAACACTCCTAAAATTCAAACTTCACATCAGTTTATTTTTTCACCTGACTTCACACTGATTCATGTATCTTCTTCTCAACATTTCTTTCTCAGGAAGTATCACAACAGTACATCTTATAGTCCCTTGAATTCTCCAAAGCAGAGACTATAGTGGTCTGATTTGTCCCTCAGGAAGGCTACCAGCCCAGTACACATGCTTGGAGGTGAGCCTGGAACCAAATGGACCTCAAATCCAAGCAAGGGGCAGCTGAGCAATTCCAACCAGGGCTGGAGGGAGGCCAGCAGCTCGGTGGCCAGCAGAAGCAGGCAGCAGACAGACAGCAAAAGGCTCAGAGTGCAAAGCTTGGCATTTTTGCAATGTGTCCTGTATACAAGGATAGACTTCTGATCTCGGGAAAGGTGCTCCAGAGCTGACAGGATGCACTACCCAAAAAGAGGACCATCCCACTTCAAATACAAGTTGTTAACATTTGCATGAAGGCAGCCAGAACAGAAATCTTCTGAACAGAGATTTCAGATTCTGTAGTAACAGTTGTCTCAGTAAAATATGATCTGATATAAAAGAGAAACTGGAAAAGCAATACAAAACTCCAAATCTATCTAATAATAATTTGATAATGAAGGTTACTTTAATTACACCATTGGTCTACAAATAATCACACAGAGTTTTTCCTCATATTGAAGGATAAAGACTTAAGAATAGACTTTTTGAAAGGATCTGATCTTGGCACAGAATCAATGGAAAGAACACTAGGACAAGAATATGAAAACTTGTTTGCCAAAACACACATGAAATCTCTGTATGCCTTTTTTCTTTTTTTGATGGGAAAATGCATAAAATGCTACTATTAAATTCAAGAGAGGAAAGTCCCAGACTGACTTTTCCCAGAGTGTGGTATTTTAGACCCACAGAGGAGCTTCACTGGCTGTGCAATGACATCTAGTGGTCCCCCCGGAGTGGCACCCACACCCCAGCACCCCATGGCCTGGGGATGGAAGAGCTGGAGGACCACAAGCACTCCTCACACACAGACAGCCGTGCCTTTAGCAACTGCCAGTCCACTCCAGAGTGAGTTACTCAAACTGCTCATTACTCACAGAAATTCTGACAGTTATTGGAGCAATTGGGACAAGTGTGACAAAACTGGAAGATTCATGCCTCATTCAGAGAAGATTGCAGTCAACAAAAAGCATACAGTTGATGGAGAAGTCCAACCTCTACCCTCACCAGACTGTGCAGCTCACCTGGAAATTGATTATTCCAGTAAACCACAGGACAACACGATTTTCAAAAAGCAATGCGTTTTGCATGCAGTTTTCAACACTACCTATTACACTCTCAGGAATTTAACAGACTGCTATCAGTTCTGAAAGGTTTTAACAGATAAGAGTTTTACCTTCCTGGCTCAAAAACAGTTACGTGCATCGTAAGTGACAAAACTCCATTTGAGAGCACAAGCAGCACCCTTTAAGGGCTGAAAGATGAATCAACCAGATACTAGCAAGTCCTAACACACAGTGTTATAAACACTACCCAAATCCTCCTCCGAGACCCATCCTCTTTAACCACCGGTTTGGGTTAGGACAAGGAGTTACACTTCTTTCAGTTCAACTAAAAATGGACAGCTATCTTAACGTGCTGTACACAGCATACTCTACGTGCCAGGCATGCTTTAGTAACAGTACAGACGTCTTGAGAGATTTCTTTTCTTCATATCTGCAAGACCCACCAAAAAATTGCAGTGTCCGCCTACATCGCCATTCAGGTTCCCATTTTATGGCCTGTTTACTTCTCCTTTGCCAGAGCAGTTATGAAGCAGAGAAAGTAGGCGAGAATCTAATGCTTCCACATAACTAAATTCCAGGGAAGAGATGAAGTTCTGAATCTTCCCAGAAACAGCTCACACAGGACAGTCCTAGCTGTACTGAAGTAATTTCTTCCCTTGAAATTCCTCCTGCACTCCTGGAAGTTTAAATAGCATATTAGAAATGACAGTACCTGATCTCAAGTGCTCAGAGTAGATGTGTTTATTCTTCTGACTCATTAGCTGTCAAGTAATCCTGATCAGGAAACCAAGATAATAACCATGAAGGTAAAACATGATTTTCTTAAAAAGCCCAAATAATTTTCAGCAAGGACTGCTTTTCTGCTTATGCAAGTGTAACCCTAATTTCTCTTCCTACATTTTCTAACTAGGTGACGCAGAAACTAACAGTTTTTAATGAAATGACCTCTTCCTTAGAGGACACTGAAACGGATTTCAAAACAACCCCAAAACTTTCACTTATTGTTTTTGAAGACACTGGCCTCACTGAAACTGAAAAAAATACTGTTCATAAAGGAAAATGGCACAAATGGCACTCCCTGTCTTGTTCTCCTAACCTGGTCAGAGTGATGAATGCTGCCTGCAAAGCACAGCACAAGCAGCAGAGAGAAGGCTGAGCAAAGGTTGCTCTCACCCTGACAGTAGCTTGTGGTAATAATCGATCAGAGCAATGAACTCCCTTAACTCCTTCACTACTCAGCATCTTTGTGTGTGCCGGAATACAAAGGCAGGGCAACATGAATTCAAGCCATTAAAATCTATTCAAAACTGCTCCTCTACCCTTCCACACAGAATATAACATTAATGGGTCATAACAAACAACGCAACATCTTCACTGTTACTGGGAAACATCACAGTCCACCTCTTTTACAGGGAGGAAGCAGGACTCTGAGACAACACTGACTGAGCACACAGGATCACGAAGGCTCAAATTCTGCAAACACTTGTGCATGAGCTAATGTGGAGCTGAAGTATAACTGGCATGAACACTCAGGACTGTTTAGAATGATTTTCACTCCACACACATGCTGATCTTAGAGCACAGCTTTTACTTGGCTAAGTACTACCAACATTAACACTT